CTGTCGCATACGTCCGTGTGCTTTTGGCATGCAATCACAAAAATGTTAGCCATCATTGGTGTAGCTGATTTTACTAAGCTTAGAGTTGTAGGATGCCCATTTGCTTCTTTGACAATCCACAATTAAGAATTTGAGTATATTTGATCACAACAAACATACGCACAGATACACACACACACACACACACACACACACACACACACACACGTAGAACATCACAAAAATTTCCAGAGGGCAAAAGATATTATCTTGCAGAGACAAACATGGTGGATGGGATATTACTTGAAAAATTACATATTCTTTTTGAGTTTTATAATAGAAAAATTATACTAAATAACATTTAAAAATGAATAAATTCACATTCTGTTAATTCTGTTACTACATTATTTGGAAAAATTAACCAGTAACCAAGATCTTAAACTAATTAATCACAAAGATAAGAAACACACAGTTGTTGATTTCTAAACAAATCAGGGCTGGAATTACTAAATAATAAGAAATAAAGGTTACAATCCCCATGCTCTTGGCAATAGATTTTACTTTACTCAGTGAGCCTTACTTCCAAACAGAAATGGCATCATGTTATATTGATATGGCAATTGGAAATTTATATTTATGTTATTTGTAGAATTAAGTAGCTCACTATTTTATCAATACCTTCTGCATTTACAATAAGTACAGGACAGCAATCAATCCCATGCATTCATGGCAAAGATTCAATTTAAAACTGACAGGTAAACTTAAGATATATTTAGAATTGTTTCAATAAGACAACTGATATTTAAAGAATTCATATACATTCAAACTAATCCATCACCATTAGGCTAAGATTATTATATTGCAGTTTAGAGAAATGGAATTAAGTGTAAGTGTAGGTAACCTACATTTTGCTAGATGTTTTGACTATAATTTTCACTCTCCCTGTTCCCAGATTGGGTGTTGCATAAAAGATACAAGGCCTTTAAGTCCTATTCACATAGCGAGTCGTAAAGGGTTCTGCTAAATTGCAGCTCAAGAGATGCCTTGTGGCAAATAAATTTAATAAATAATAACATATCTAAAAGAAAACTAAAGTCCTTTAGCTTGTTGGGTTCATGGGAGAGAAAGTTTTAAAACAGGGATTTTGGCCACAATAACTTTGAAAGGAGAACTATTTCTACGGCTAACATACCTTGCTCCCGAGGAATGCGTACAATGCAGTCTATCATGCCTTTGTATTGCTGGTCGGCACGGATCTGCTTGGATGAGGCCTGAACCTGGAGCAGGAGCTTCACCCGCTCAATGGGTGCGACTGTTGTTTTGGAAATAGCAGCTGCCACCCCACCTATCATGAGGTCCTTCCCAAATGAGATAGGGTCGAAAAGCTGCTGCCCCTCAGCAGCCTGCATGATGACAGTTGGGTAGAAAGAAAGATGTTGGTGGAACTAGGGCCTGCAAGCAGCATCACCCAGCACCAGGCAACACTTCTAACTGTCACTGCTCAGAAAGAGCTAATGGAGTTCCCCTCCCCTCCCCCACTTCATTCTCAAGCCACATAATGCTGAAGCACCCAATCACAGCAACCGTCCTGCCTTTTCCTTTTAAAAGAAAGGTTGGGGCTTTTGAAGATGGAGCCAAGTTCAGAATAGTGAGCTGAGGTCTAAAATGAAGGAAGAAAGCCTGCAAGTGAGTGCTTGACTGAAGAAAGACCTTTCACCTTAGTTAATGCAGCCATTACGAAGGTTTTTCAGTATTCATCCACATTTCACATTATATATATGTATGTGTGTATGTATGTATGTATATGTGTGTGTAAGGGAAGCTTATCACATTAATTTCAGCAAGAAAAATGTAGAACACCACTCCTGTTCCCTCCCACATTGAATGCTTGCATTAACTTGAGTGTCAATTATAGTGTGAAATATCACTATTTATTTATGGAGACATTTGTATATTTGACCCCAAAGGAGTCAAAATAGTTTGTAGCATAATAAAATACAAAAATATAAATATATATATTCAAACCAAACACAAACAATGATCAAAATAAAAGCTTTTCTATAGGGCAGTTTGACTACAGTTAGCATCCCATAGAATTAAATGGTATTGCCCTGTTAATGGTCAAAATATTAAGATAAATAGATAAGTAAAGCAAATGCTTACAGGAAAATATAGCTAAAGATTTTAGTGAATAACAGACTATAACTATTTGCATATCACCCACTCATGAAAAACATAAACAGAAATAATTTTAGAAACCTAATTCCAGAAGACGACAAAAGGAAACAAATGAGGCAGCCCATTATCACAATTTTTGCTAATTTTGATGATATTACCCATCTAAAAAAAAATAGATTTTTTAAAAATAGCAACTAATTGCACCTCAGGCTAATGGTCCATAATATTTGATTTGCTGCCAAAATCAGGCTTTGCACCACAATTTCCTTCTTGTGGAATAGGGACCCTAAATATATATACCAGGATGAGCAAATTCTATTCAGAATAAATGGTCCAAAGGTAATGAGGAGCTGAGCCATATAAGGTTTATAGGTTAAAAATAACACTTTGAAGTAGACCTGAAAGCTTTTGGCAACCAATGCAGCAGCTATAGGTTTATATTAGCAAAGTATCTCTCACCTACCAGCATCCATACCATTGCCTTCTAAATGAGCACTTTCTAAATTATCTTCAAAGGCAGTCCCAAGTAATGTGCATTACAATGATTGTTTCGCAATAAATACATAAATCTCTGTTCTGAAAAATTTGCTGGATCACAAAAAGATATTACTGGTACACCAGCTGAAGCTGCTTACTGCTCAAGTGGAAGTCATAAAGGATTAGTGAGGTTCCTTCTTATTCTGAAAATGGGTTAGCATATAGTACCTGTTAGTTTTCCATGTGACCACTCATATTTGTTTTCCATCTCTCAATGATTGAAAAATCTTCCAAGGATCAAGTTAGACAAGATGCTGTTCATTAAATTAGGAATAAATTTACATTTTGTTTCTGTAGTCTCAATTGACTTGTTGCTTTATTGGCACTGCAATAAAGTCTCTAATTTGCATAAGACATTAATTTTCCAATAGAAATTCTAAGCATGAAAACTTTCCTGAATTTGGATGGTAGTGAGAAAAATCAGAGTCCAGATTTAAAAGTCCTGTAAAAAGCCTACCTTAGCTGGTCTACATATCAAACTGAACATATTGTATGTTGCCTTTGGCTTAGTCACTGTAGTTGATTTATGACTTCATGCCCTACACCAAGCCATGATTGTTATTTATAACGTTCATCTAGTTTGGGCCTTACTTTCAAAAATCTAATGCTAAGTATAGTTCTCTAATGTATGTGTATATGTTCAAGAAATTATTGATATGAATATGTGACTGATAGTGCTTTACATTTTAGTATAATTAAAAAGCATGTCTTTATCAGAAATATAAAAAACCCATAAAAAGATATATTTGAGTTAAAAATTAAATGAAAAAGAATTACATTATATCCAAGACTATTTGAAGAATATTCCTTTATTGTAAAAAAAGTCATATAACATTGTCTGCAATGTACTAGGAAACATTCAGTTTTATTTTATAACAAGTATTTTCTAAATATAAATATAACTTCTTTTTGTATCACAAAGTACTATATCCATTTAATGTAAGGTAAACTACCTCCCCTAAGAATTTGCATATAAATTTTCTGGAAGACTTAAGGAATCCATTTGTTAAGGCCACCAGATCAGGACTGCATAATGTGGATTATCACTAGACAACAGCAAAAACTAAGATTTCTTTTCTTTTTCTCTGATAAAATCATTGTGATCATCTGAAGTTTTGAACCTTAGTTTTGGTATCCACATATTTTGATCTTAAATCCCATACCAAACTGAATTAAAATAGTTCCCTACCTCTGACATAATATGCAAGCATTACATTGTATTCTTTAAATGAAGTCCAAAAAGGTGCATACATAATAGAAATCTCTATTTTAACTGCATAATGAGTGAGATTATTTTCAAGGTCTAAAGGTGCATCTTCCAAGGATATGGCTTTAAGGGAAAAATGTGCTTGTGTATATAACTTGATCATTGATTCTATAGGTAATATTTACATATAATTTTTAATTAATATATAATATCATAACTCATCCAACTTTCAATCTTCTGAAAGGAACGAATTTCATAAATAGTGTTATAAATGTGTGGTTTTTTAAATATTACATAACTGATTTTAGGGAATATTTTAAAGGGCACCACAAACAAAACCACAATGTAATACTTCTGTGTTTTCTGTGACATGGAAAATGAAAAACTGCAGATAAGTTTATCTATACAGCTAAGCCAAATGATAACTTAAAAGCCAATTCAACAGCAACCTCTGTGACTGAATCATGAAAACAGACGTAAAATTCCCGAGGCTTGGGATCTAGGAAGAGTCTCCTACAGAAAAAAACATAATTCAGTGTCAGCAGAGGATTAAAATATATATGAAAAACAATATTTTAACAAGAGTTTACTAAAGGATTAAAACAGATTTATCAAAGTTAGATACAATTCTAAAGGTCCAATAGAGATTGTTGAAACATTCAATATGTAAATTTATGTATGAATTTAACCTTTGCTATATTTTAGTATACTACAGTTTCTACTACCAAATATTGGATTAGGGAAGAACCTAAAAAACCATTGCATGTTCTGAGAATTTGGACAATCAGATAATAAATATTTAGACTAAATTAAGAAAACAGTATTACTTACCCTACCACCCAGTACATTATATTGGAATCGGGTTTCTTTTGGTCAGTACAGCTGTCAGGAGCACACTCAAACAATATACCATGTTCTTTCACTTGATTTAGGTCCAAATTTGCTTTTTGGGATTCCGATCTTCTCCCGGACTTTTTATTCTACAGTAAAGTAAGGGCAACAGAACTAATATCTCAATAGGCAGTAGGGAGAAGTAATAAAAAATGTCACATTGTATATGATAATTCTGAAATATCTGGTGAAAGGGGAGTTTTTACAAGCAGCAATTTGTCTAAGGAAATAGCTTTCTACCCAGTTATATCTATAATGTTGTTTGTAACAAAAGAATTCTCCTTTGCCCCTTCCCAAAATATAAGGACATACTTGTCTCAGCATAGTTTGTTGAAAAATGGAACGGATGGAAAGACAACAGCGATGGAAGTTCTTGATGAGCTGTGGATGGATAGTTCCACTAAGTTGTGCTACTTCAACATGTGTTGGAGTAATAAAAATTCCATGCATTGTTTCTAAACAAATATAATGAAAGAGGGTATTTTCTGGACCCGAAGTCAACCTTCAACACCAAAAGAAAACAACCAGATAAATCCCTAATAAATAAACATCATCAATAATAAATTACAAAAAGAAAAGGGTGAGGACTTTTGATTTTCAATATAATAGGAAACTTATGATAATTCTGTATTTTAGTAATATAGTTAATACATTATAATAGACGATTCTAATGATGTTCAGATGTCATCTAATATACCATATCCCAGCATTAGTATACTGTATTCAAAAATTGAATATATTATATATCACATATACTTGAAAGTACTTTCTAACTCTTCCCAAAGCACTTATCATCATGAAATAACTGATTTATGTTCTTTAGTAACTAATACAGGTAAGAAATTAATCAATCAGCCGTAATAATCATGGGACCTAGTTTGGTGCAGTGTTTAAGGTATCAGACTAGGACTAGGAACTATAAATTCTAATCCCATTTAGGCAGAAAGCCAGCTGGGTGACCTTGGGCTGCCAATGCTGCCATGCCCACTCTGGCTACTGAACCTTGCTTTCCCGTGGCCTGCACAGCGTGTCCAGATCATGTGCCTCCCCATCTCTGCCTCTGCCTCCCCATCTCTGCCTCTGCTGGACACCATTTGCCCCCACACCCTTGCTGCCTCTGGTGCTGGCCACACCCACCCATCTCAGGCTGATGACAACTTTAACTGGGGCTTATTTGGGGGGAGTAGGGCTTATATTAGGAGCATGCTAAAATCAGTCTGGGGCTTATTTTCTGGTTAGGTTTTATTTTTGGGGAAGAACGGTAGAAGTTATATAATGCTAACAATATGAAACATATATAATATATTTATATATTTAATATGGGAATAGTAAATACTAGAATTTAATCCTATACAATAGGATAAATGTTGATAGGATCTTTTTACAGGTTTATCAAGCCCAATCAGCTTTGCATCATGTGGTGGTAGTTCAAACCCAATACTGATACAATAGTAACTTTTTTATTTTAATAAAGGTAATAAAGAACTAAAAAAATGATTAGTTTCAACATACTATTTGAGGCTGAAACCTGCATACCAAATCTAGGATTCAATGTCCTATAACTCAGGGGTCTCCTACCCCCAGATCGTGACCCACTACTGAGCCATAATATTTTCAGAACAGAGCTGTGGAAACTGTGCAAGCATGAGCATGTGCACAGCTTTACTTGTACCTGGAAAGGTTGGAGACTGATGCTATAAGTGAAGCAAACAAAGAGGCTGAAAATGGGTGCAGAACCTATATACCTTACTGATTCAGATTCCTGAGACTCAGGGATATTGGGCCTGCATTTCAGGATCACGTCTTAATTTTGTTACATCTCTGAAGATCTCAACAACTGACAAGTATAGTAAATTCAGTACTTCCCTCCTAAATCCAAATCTCTACCACTCATACAAAGAGGACAGTGGCTTTAGAGTTATAAAATATTTAGAGCTTCTATTAGCCAGCAGACCTATCCATAAGGATCACTATCTAGCTACTTCTCATCCTATTACAGTGTAACTTTATATCTTGCTTCAGCACTGAAATATAGGCTGATACCTGTAGGAGAAAATATTTTTAAAAAGTCCTTATGCAGCACCAATGTTCAACATGATTTGACGACTTGTTTGTGAAAATGCACATGGTACATTTATAAATAATACAACTGAGATTTTAGCATTAAGCGTAAACATTCCATCCATCTATCTATCTACTGTATCTATCTACTGTATCTATCTATCTATCTATCTATCTACCTACCTACCTACCTATCATCCATCCATCCATCCATCCATCCATCCATCCATCCATCCATCCATCCATCCATCCATCATCATATTTATACAGTCTTGGATTACATACAAGTAGTCCTGGACTTACTGTATATATCACGAAGAAACTTAATATATTCTGTGTATGTTTGTTTTTTTATTAACATTATGCTGAACATTGGGTAATTTCAGTAATTATCCATTCAAAAATAATCCCTTTTTTGAAAATATTTCATTTTTTTAAAAAGGGTTTTTTTAAAAATTTTTTGCAATGAAACGTTATTTTTGATGTGTCCATCTGCACATTCTCTAGGAAAATATTAATGTTCTCAGAAAAAAGATTTTATAAATACTATAAATTAGTTATAAATAAAAACCCTTACTTCATAGCATTATATAATTCAGCTTCCTTATCTGAGACATTCTTTTTCAGAGTTCCAAAAGTAAATGGGTTTGGAACAACAGGCTTCTTTTTAGTGATCTGAGAAATAAAAAAGAACAGCCTCATAGTAAGAGAGTAAGCAAGTCTCAGAATTTACAGATGGCAAATGGCTGTTTTCAAAATATATTAAGCCGTTAAAAGAATTTGTATGTTTTGTGAACAATGCTGAGTTGTTGTGTTAATGGACATGTCATGCTAGCTAGGAAAAAGTACTGTTTTTATTGCAAGCTAACACTTTAACAAAGATGTTATTTATTAAATGATTTGTATTTGGGAAATATACAGATGTCACCCGAAGTCTTAAACTGTATGAATAATAAATTATGCTGAGTGCATTCAACTTTTATTTAGTATTTAAGTTTGGAATAAAAAAACTCATTCTTATGGGAGAAAGGATCACAATAGGAACTGACTTGAGTATGGGAAGAAATAGCAATAAATAACGGCCCAATTTTGCAATGGTCATAGTCAGTTCATTCTAGAAACAGAATTAGTTATATGAAAGTCTTTGATATAGATGTGTATATACAATTAGTACTGTCTCCTACAGATTAATTTTTACAAGTCACATTTGCTCTAGGTCAGTGGTTCCCAACCTTTTTTTGCCATGCCCCCCCTAAGCATCTCTAAAATCCTGATGGCCTCCCTGTGACCTATAATTCTTACTTTACTCAAAAAGTGAATTCTAGTCACATGGAAGAAGCCTAAAAGGCCATTAACTTGGTTTAAACAAGGTTCAAATTGCCCCCCCCTCCCCGTGGGGTGTGGGCCCCACATTGGGAACCACTGCTCCAGGTTGTACAAAATAGGTGGGGAAGTATAAAATTTTAATGAAACAGAAAAATACTGAAAAGATACATCATGGGCATGAACAATTTTCTTCTACTTATTAAGTATCCCTGCAACTTGTTTTATATAAATAAAGTAAAATTACATTACTTGTGGACATTATTAAATGCAGCAGCGCCTTAAACAGACCATTATTTAAATAACAAACAAATCCACTAAGATTTTTCAATTGTGCATGGTATATGGATTGAATTCCATTTCTTCCTTCAGGGGTGTGCTGACCATTGACAGGACAGTGATTATTCCTCAAGGGACTTAACATATGTGTCCTCAAGACAAGAGTTACCAGAACTCACTTTTCTGTTTGCTGGAGAAGGTACAGTACTTGATATATGATGCAGTTTGCTGAGAACAGGCAAATGAGAAAAGCTCTCCAATTTGTCAGACGATGAAGGGTAGAACCCATCTACGCAACACACCAATGGAGCCAATGCTGTCTGTAATCTTTCATCTATGCTAAGATCTATTCCATCCAGCTGAAGGATAGTTGATTTCACCTGGTCAATATATATGCAATCTGGTCCAGGATTTCCAATAGCTTTGGAAGAACAACCTCCTGCTTCCAGCAATACACTCAGAATAAAATGCTTCTAAAAAATACAGGGAAAAAATATATTTCTGCTAGTGCATTTATTATACAGAGAGAGAGAGAGAGGGAGAGAGAGAGAGGGAGAGGGAGAGAGGGAGGGAGAGAGGGAGAGAGAGAGTTTGGGGGTAAAAAAACTTTTTCTTGTTTTGTAATCTAAAGACAAATGAAATGGTCTATAACATTAATATAAATAAACTATATAAATACACTTCTACTTCTGTACTAGAATATGG